ATGATAGCTGTGGCAGGTTCTTGTGGAGGCTCCCCTGTGTTATTGTCGCGTGTTGGAGGTGCCTCATGCATCAAACTAACTCCCCAGGTGTCACCATTAATTTTGTGAAAGGACAGTTTTAAAAAAGTCCCGTGTTTACATCCCAGTGGCTTCCACGACCTTTCCCTCACGACCTGTTCTACACATGTCGAGCGAGATGCTAAACAGCGTCGTAAAAGAGGGACTCCTCGATGAATTATTAATCCGGTGGACATTCTAGGAAGAGGGGAACGAAGTGGGTCATGTGGTCGAAATCTGGTCGAAAAAACGCAATCGTAATGACCACAGTGCTCAGAATGACCGTGAGAACAAAACTAAGAAGAGTTGTTTGGCGAGGGCTATTCATTCGGGGTACGAGCCCAGGATATCCCTTCCCCTCGAGCAATGACCGAGAATATCATCCCCTTATCTATATCCATTTATTTTGGGTCATCCTTTCTTCCGTTTTGCCTTTATGTAGATGACTCGTGTGCCATTTATCAAGCCGTGGAGTTCATGTCCCTTCCTGGCCTGGCACCGCTATCACCCACCTGCGTTTGTCCCTGTTACGTAGAAGCAGCGTAAAGAATCTGCAAGCAAAGAACGAGGACTTTCCTTCTGATACATCATTGGGAATAATTGAGGAAAGATTTCACCATCGGAGGAAGGAGTATGAAATCGTTCCACTCTTGTCCTCCCCGAATCAGAGCGAGACTCATTTTCCGGTCTCGTTTGTGTTCTACCGTGCACAACGCAACGTGATGTACCGTCCATACCGAACGTACAGAATGATCTCTTTATTATTGCGCCCATCTCGTATTCTTCACATTGATATATGGCGTGCGTTATCTGGGCTGTTCATTGCCCCAATTACCTGCCTCGTTTTATCCAGTCATCTCCACACGATCCAAGCCCATCCGAAGGTAGTCTATGGGATGATAGCCCAGGATGAACGAGGGGGTAGGACCGAGTCGGAATGTGGAAAAAGGAGGTGAAGCTCTTCGTATCCCCAAAGCGGACATTACCTTAAGAGCATGGACAAGGGAATGCTTTCAGTCGGGAAATCACTCACGAGGTCTCGGCTTTGTGTTTTTATAATAACCGGGGGGAAGGTCGGGGGTCATGGGAACTCGTTTGAAGAAGGAAAAAAAAAAAAACAATACCGTCCGGGATCCATTCTGCATTCGATCCGGAACTGATTAATTATTGCGACTTCGGAGATGATGGATGACCGACGTAGAAATTGATACGAAGTTCCAGGTCAGTCTGCTTCTTCATGAGGAACCCTTCCCTGACACCGTGATCGATTTAATGCAGAGTGTAATTGGGTCAAGTCGACGATTATCGCAGGATTGACGACTCTATAACCTGATCTCGGAGGCAGAGGTCAGGGTTTATATAAATGTGCCTACCGACTTGACCCCTGACCTGGTCGAATCTTTCCCCTTTCTGCGCAAACAGATTCTCGAAGGCAAACACGGTGCTTCCGTTATTGACACGGTCTAAATCTCCTTGCATAATTTTGGCCGTTATTCTTTTGCAGTTGGTGCTGTGACGGATGTGAGTTGTGGGAACCGGAGACGGAACAGGAAATGCGACTGGAATCGGCCGATGGAAAATGGCGGGAAGTTTACGCCGCCGTGAGTTTCCGACCTTCCGTTTTTCAACTCGCACCAACTTTTCTCTCCCTAGTTCAACTTTCGCGCGTTTTCGATGCGAACCTGTTCCGGAGCTCCATCTAATTGATCTGATTCTTATGAGCTTCCAGAACCCGTCCACTCGCGCGGGGGGAAAGTCGTGGCTAATCAACGCATCTGAAGTGCACGTGAAAAAAAGATTGATAAAAGTGACTCAGGGAAAATGTAGAACACGAATGCATGAGGAAGAAGGTGTCTGACCTTTGGGATCACCTCGCCGTTATCGGGGGATATGGATCGGATATCTTGAGGTTTCTCCCTGTCATTTTCACGAGGATCTGATAATTGCCCATCCATATGCAAATAAGGTTCCCTTTCTCTACAATTAAACGGTAATTATTCTTGGGATCACGATTGGGTCAAGGCATTTGATCCATTTCGAAATTTACCTCGGATTGAAGAATACTTTTCGACAGATCATGGCGTGCAGTATAGATTGCTTCGAATAAATGGCATGGACCCTGAAAAGACCATTAGAGACTTTCTCTTTGCAATTACCCGAGGAAAAATATATACAAATAGGTGTCCTCCGGATTTCAACATGGAAATCGTTGGACAGACTTAATCTATTTAAAAAATGAGCATGACATCTGGATTGATGGAGCAGATTCGGATATGAATGTGATTTTTTAAATTCAAGTCACTAATTTAATGTCTCCCTTTTCTGCTGTCCCGAGATCATTTAGAAATCCCGTGACTACTGTCACCTGCAAATTACAGTGGAACCATGGAGCCTTTGGTAGAAACCGATAAATTTATCTTTTTCGCCCACGTCGTTATTCCCGCTCCCCCGAATCTTGGCAACAGAGAAAGGAAGACCTGTTATCGCGTCCAGGACCGAGGGTGGCAAAGAAGACGAAAAGGAAGTGAAGGGTAGTTCTAGTAAAGGGAAAGCTCGAAGAGAACGAAGGGAAGGGGAAGGGTGGCCCTTGAGGGATGCTGGGGAAGAGGTCCTTGTCCTCGCGTGCATCCGACCGTGAATGTAGCCTACTCCAGCACATTCAATTCAATCCCGCCCTTCACTTCCTCCTTTGAACCTGAACTTTGAGATGGGAAAGAGACGCGACCGATTTGTCTCCGCTCTGGGTGGCCCCTTCCGACTCGAATATGGAACTCTTCACGCCGTTTCTGTGCTTCTATTCGCAGGGGGGGGGGGGGGGGGGAATCCGTCAAATGAATGCGATAGAAACTGCTTGTTGTTCTCTGGATAAAGGCTCCATGGGTCGATAGCTGGGAACACTTTCTTCGGATTTTCGCTTCAGACCTGCGACCGTCTGTGCGCTGCACTTTCCCAGAGCGCATTTTGCACATCTCGTTTCGATGCTGGATTCTGAATTACGCAGTGAGATGGAATTTATAGCGCCAGAGAGAAAGGTTTTCTTTTTATTCGCCTGATCAGTTAAGAAAGACCGAAAGGGAGAAACCGTGGAGTCACCCAGTCGCCCTGCCGATTTCCAATAGAGGGGCTTTTGTGTTGTGAAAGGTACCCGTGTTCAATGAGCCGTTAATTAGGCGGTCGTCTTGTCACGAAGAGATTTTTCTCATCCGTGACGGGGAAGTATCCCTCACCTTTCAACCCATCCATCACTGCATAATTCTGGCCGAGATTCTCAGCAGATGCTCCTCATCAGCATCAACACTTTTCTCGTTGCTTCCTCTTGATTGCCTCGGTCAGCTGTGAGACGCGTCGTGCCTCGTTCCGCAGATGCTTGATGGCCACTTATTATTTTTTTTTGGTCCACCGTGAATGGTGGTTCTTGAATGGAAACAACAATTAGCATGGAGAGCATGGGGGCGGGGAAAGGTTGCGAAAATCTGCGCCGCGATTCATCATGGAAGACAGAAAAGGAGAAAAAAATAAGGGCGAGGCCTTTCGAGTAGGCCCAAGCTATTCCTTCGCTCCGATGACGAGATACGATGGGGAGCAAAACACGCATAAAAAGGTGCTGTGACACAAGTGTGTCGACCACATTCCTGTCGAAGTTGAATGAGAAGCCCCTCCCCCACCTGATGCGGGCAGGAAAGTGAATTTTTTTTTCGTCGGTGTCCCATATCCCGTGTATATTTTTCTCCCGCAATATTCCTCGATGACGCAGCTGTCGGATGGAAAAAGGCACCGTTTTTTTCCTACGGTCCCATTGTAGAGAAAGTCCTTGGACGTATGGGGCTCCGATCTCAAAGGACCATTTCTAGGCATCGACATCGTGTCGGCATACTGACCCGAATTCTCGATTCCTGACAGGTCTTTTCTCTTTCGTCAAAGGATTCCATCGCGGCCGACAGCGCCTTTTCCTCGCATCGAGGATTTAAAAAGCTTTATTGCGTCATTGGAATGTCTCTCCAGGTCGATCGATTTTGAAAAGATGACTTTGAACTGTCTTTATCTTATATAAAGATTCGGATCTGCTTTGTCATCCAAGTATTTTGTCCTTGCAAACGGTCACTTTGAACTCTCATTCCCCTTTCTAAGCACGTTTCCAGACGACTAAAAGGCGGTAAGTACCAGCTTCGCAAGAGAGGAAAAAGGAAGACAGATATTTCCTGAATTACTAATGGCGACAAATCTCTCCTTGGCATCCCCATAGATATCCTTCACGTCGGAAGTATGCATTTGTAAAACGAAGGTAGCCTTCGGGTGCAATTTTTCTCTTCGGGGATGGGAGATCTCGTGATTCCAGGCAATATTGCCTCCCTTTTTTATCTTTCACCGAAGTGTGCCGCTTGGTTTTACCAACGCCCTGGCGATGCCCCCGAATATATTTCGATCAATCCATATCCCTCCCGAAAGAGATGGAAAAAAAAATAATTTACATAATTGGCTTCCTATCTCATTAGCCTTTGAGGTTAACAGCCTTCCTTATTTCTGACAATGGCTTTCTTCGCCCGGAAAAGAAAGACAAAAGGCTGTGATTACGAAAACGAAGATAACGCCGGCCGCCGTCCTCATTTTTTCCGGTTCAACCGGCAATAAGCGGGCCTTTTGAGTGACGTGGAACAACATAATTTAAAGTTGTGTCGGATCACGCTTTCTAATATACCAAACCGGAAATACATGGACTACGACAATGGTCATGGCATGTTTTTGCACTTTCTCCACCCTGAAAGGAACCGTGCAAGTATTGATATTTCCTGATTTTTATATTTCCCGCGAGAAACCATCGATGGTTTCCCACTTTTCCCATTGGAAAAAGTTGGATCCAACTTTTTCCAATTCGCTTCGTGGGCTTTGAATGCAAAGAAAATATCAAGTTCGATTCGTCTGACGCATTTCACGCATGACAAATTATGTATATCATAATGAATCGGTTACAGGAGCAACGCCCTCCATCGTACACGGCCGAGGACTACAGTCTTGCCTTGAGACAATTCGCTTCCATCTCCTTCACCAATTATTACCTGAAACGGAAAGACGCCGTTTCTCAAAATGCCCTGACCGGGGGAGAAAGGGCCCTTAAAGACAAAGATCGACTCATGAGACGCCTGGCCAAAGAAAGGCGGACCGGAAGCGATACGAATCTGGCAACGGGACAAGAGTTGTTGACCTTAAACAACTTCTACAACATCTCCGAGCTCCTGAAGAAGCTGAAGACGGACCTCAAGTTCAGCTACATCGAGTGAGCCTTCATTCAAGTAGAAAAGACGACACGTTCCCTTGGATTTCCATGAAGTAAACATTTTTATTTATTTATTTATTTATAGATTTGTCGAAGAGTTTGTGAGCGCAAATCTGGACGGCGTGAGCCTCCTCCTCGATGTCCTCAAAGGGATTCAATTGAGCCAAACGGACTGTCGATTGGACTGCCGACTCGGCAGCCGACAGCAGCATCTCTGTCTCGTAAGCATCTCGCGCCGTTTTCCATTATAATAATTGCAATGTGTCAGATGCCAGCCGGGTGAAAGTGGGAGGGTTTTTTTTTGCGGCAGGTTCGTACGTTGGCCGACGAACACGAGACCCTGATGAGCCTGAGATATTGTCTGAGAGCAAGCGAATCGGGACATCGATTGGCCTCATACACTAATGGCCTTTACACCCTCGCAGTCTGTCTCATGTCCAACGTGAACAAGAGCCGGATTCTCGCCTCCGAAGTGAGTCTCTGTCGCTTTCCTCGTCCGTATACTAGGCCATACAAAAGGAAAAGAAAAAAAAGTACGTGGGAGGGACCCCGAGACTGCCCCCTTTCTTGCCCTGCGAGGGAGGTGGGAAGTGACTTATGAGAAACGTAATAAAGCAATTTGTAATCTTGATGCCGTGACCCGATTTTCTTCCTTTTTCTCTTTTGTAGCTTTTATGTGCAGCGTGTTGGGCGTCGTCGGAAGGGCATGCTCAGGTCCTGGAAGCCATCTCCACCCTCCGACTTCGGTTCGGGGAGCCCATTCGATTCAAATTCCTCATCGGCATGCTCAACAGCTTCTCCTCTCCCACCTTTCAGGTCTCCAGGATTTTTCCGTCGTATATGTTTATATTTCGCATAACTGATGTGTGTGTTGAGGGCGTGCTGAGAGGATTTTCGCCATGTGAGTCCTCTGAAGGTCAGAGACGGCAATTAAGTCGTCTGTGACCGCGTGACAAAAGCCAAGGACTGCAACCGTGACTAATACGGTGAGATTCGTGCTAAGGAAATTAGGAGATAAAGAGAAAAGCAGCTACTCACATCGTACCGCATCATTCATCAGTTGCAATTCTTCTCCCACCGCAATTGTAGTCCAGAAGCTGGCATTTGAATTGGGCAATTTGCACAATTGGAGAGCGCAGGAATATAAAAAAAATGTAAAATAGAGAAGGTACGAGCGACACAAGAGAGAATTGTCGGAATTCGAAAGAAATAAAAATACAATTTTCTGCTCACACCTTAACAGCAAGACTGAATTCGTGCTATCGAAAACAAAAGCTTCGATGGGATGAGGAATCTGAAGATTCCCCATGGTTTCTGTCCTCAGGCTTTTACTATAAATTCCTGCCGGTGGGGTGCTGAAGTATGTGTTCACTGCCCAGGAAATGAGTTATAACTTGTAAGTTATAGGATGAAAGGAGCCGTTGGGATGACGAAGTAGAATCCTCCCTCGGGTCACTGACTAAGGGTGTACGACGTGATTCGCGAACCGTGAAGAACAAAAAAAGAAGAAAAGCCTTGTTCAGAGACATTGACGGTATCTCTCAAGAGGATTTTATGGTGCGCTTTTCCGGGTCGCACTAAAATAAGGCAAGAAAAACCAGCCGCCGCCTGTTTGAGGGTCAGTGTAGGGCGTCATGGGCAATTGAACACGTCCTATAATATTTCCTCTGGCATCATCAATATTGTGTTGGAGAATCACATGTTTTGAGTCTTTCACTCAGAAAAACAAGAATTATCCGTGGCTGGGAGATGGCCGTGAATTTTGCCAAGTCATCTCCCCCTAGAGAAGGAAATGTCTCTAAGGCCTTCATAGAGAGAGGGGGAAAGAGAGAGAGAGAGGAGAAGGGTCCATTAAGAGAGATATACATCTCTTAAGGGGTCTCTGTCCACTCCCTCTGAACTCAAGCTGAGCTTCCTTAATTGAATCTTGCGCCTGCCACTCAAGGAAGGCACTCCCTTGACAGACTGACGCTTCTGAATCTAATTTCCCTAACTTTATTTCTTTTATTCCCCACGGCTTCCTTATTATAATTATGTATCGGGACCAGCAATTCCTTTTTGTTTTTAAAGCTTTTTTTTTGGCTCAGCAGGAAGCCGCACTGTTCTCGTTTTTATTCTTGGGGGATGACCCTGAATAGGGAAAAAGTGGGAAAAGCCACAAAGACTGAGAAACAACTGGAGCGTTACTCAGTCAGTCCATCTGTTACGACCAGATTGCGAAGAAGCTCCCTAAAACCACAAGAATATGCTGGGTACGAACACCGTTACATGCAGGAGACAGCTCTTCCCTTGCCAGGGAATTTACGACAAGGGACTTCCTTCGACAAACTCGCTATATGTGCTGTCTTGTGCCAAGCGGAATAACCCACTTCGCGTTTCCGTTGCAAACATGTCGAGTTGTCGTGGTCCACGTGACAATGAGGTTGCGAAGGAAACTGAGTCCGTTTTTTTTCACAGAAGAGGACATCGCCTTGCCTGACGCATACCGATAAATCCTGACCCCGACCAGTAGCCCTGTAGGGAGCAGACAGCACACACAAAGCACATACACTAAGAATGCTCTCCCCTTCCCCAAAGGGGTTTCGATTAATCTCCATTTATCATAATAAAGAGAAGATGAAGCCCTCTCCTCTCGAATTTTCCCTCATCATTACCTCACTTCGATTTTTTGCTTCATTTGAATATCGTCCGTGTGTTTTTGATGCTGCAGGTAGCGTGCCTGAGGCTTCTCAACGCCATCGTTGAAACCACCTTAACCTCCAAAGAAAGAGCTTATCTTCAGGCCGAAATGGAGGAAGCAGGCTTCGAGCCTGCAATCATACGAAAGGTGTGTGCATCCTCAATGTCTATATTGACGGTAATTCAAATGATGACTCACAGTGAGTGTAGCCTGATTTTTTTTCCTGCTGGTTCCCCTACAGTTGTTGGCACCAGACCACCCGGAATATGAGTCGATGAAGGAAGAACTGGAAAGATGGGAACAGAACTACATTGATGTCGGCGAAATTTTGATGAAGCTGGAGAAACTCTCCCAGGAAAACTCCCATCTCAAAGAACGGGTCTACCGGGTGGAAGAGCTGAAACAGGTGAGGGGGAAACCAATATCGCACCTATATTTCCATCAATCATCGACGCAATCGGACACCTGCTTGAAACAGGTGGCAGAGAAGGAGCGCAATGACCTGATAAAGCTCGAGGAGACGCTGAAGCGGAAGTGCACGGACTTGGAAGAAAAGCTGGTACATGTGGGTCGGGATAAGGACAGAGACAGAAAACTGTCGAACGGGAGCGCTGACAGCGGGGAAGGGAGCAGTCGAAGCAGCCTAGGGGAAACCCGCAGTCCTTCGGGACACTCGGCCGATAGCATCTACGTGGAGAAAGACAACCTGACCGAAGAGGTGCTCACTCTACGCAACGACACGATCCTCATGGACGGATTCGGGACCGTGATCCGGAGCAAGACCAAGGAATCTACCAACACCAGCAGCAGTGCTGCCACCGTCCTCGAGAGAAGCACCAACGCAACCAGGAAGAAAGAGGAGGAAGACGCTCCGATTGTCGCCAAACACATCCCGAAACCCCCGGCCAAACCCCGGCGAAATCAGAAAGAGATCTTGAAGATCCAGAACGGGGAGATCAAGGTTCAAAGGGCGGTGAAGGGCAGAGATTTCCCTATCTATGAAGCCGGAATTTATGTGAACAGTGTGGATTTCCCGGTCGAGACGAGCGATACGGAGAGTGCCATGAGTCCCACTGACCAGGGTTGCTCGAGTCTCCGAACGACGATCGAAACAGAATCCACGAAAAGCTTCGGTTTCGTCCGCCCGGGGATGATCTTGAAACGAAGCGAGACTTTCGCAGACCCTCGGCATTCAGGCTCTCACCTGGACCTGAGAAGACCGGACCAGACCCAGATCTTGCCCGAGAATTACATCCGACGAAGCGAATCTTTCGCCAATGGCCTTCAGGGACCCTCCGCTGCTCCCAACGGTAAAGGACAAGGATACTGGGCACGGATCTTCAGCCTATCTGGAGACGTGGAATACGACGCGTCCTACTTGGTCTACGATCCCCTCCTTCACGATCAAGCACAGCCAGGTACACAAGCAGGTCAACAGCAGAAGGTGAGACGAGGTCGATCCGTGTCCTCGAGCCGGTCTGGACGACGAGAGAGCTCCGTGCCTCGCCGTCAGAGCCAACGACGATCCGGAAAGGAGACCTTGGATACACCCGAAGACTGGACCATCAAATGGCGCTACCCCAAGATCCCCGTGGACCAGAACACGTTCGTGGTCAAGGACAAATCCAAGAAGGTTAAAGGTCGGGGAGGGTTCATGCAGAGCTACGACGGCAACTTCGACTGCTACTCCAAGGCGAACGGTGTCGAAAACGGGATGAGCCAGGTGAATGCCAAGCTCGCTGCAGCGCACATGCCGCCCGCATTCATGAGGCGGAAACTGGTGCAGGGGGACGTCGATGACATATACCGCTCCTTTGACATTCCCACTCCGGATTATAGCACCATGAGCAATTCCTGGGCTAGGAATCCTCATCCGAATCCCAAGCAGCGAGTCTTCGACCTTCCCGCTGGACTCTATTGAGAACTCAATATTCTCTTCTCGATGACTTGTTTTGAATCATTATTATCCCTTGACAAGTGCCAAAATGGACTCTGAACTTTTTTTTTGTTGGTTGCTTTCACGATCTGTGATAAAGGGACAACGAGAAATAATATGGGTTCGGGTTCGTTCTTTCCTTTTTTTTTTCTTCGACGTTACATCCTTGCCCCCTGTGCTGCTATGAATTGGACCATGCTGAACCTTGAAATCGATTGATTCAATAAAATTATTCCATATTCCCAAGTCTAATATTTTTTCGAATGACATGACCCGTGACGAGACGGGTTCAGCAAATTCGAGAAGGCGAGTCGTCGATCCAGGTTCCAGGACATGTGACAGTCAGCTGTTGACACGGCATTCATAGAATCATAACGGGACGTTTTACGAGAAGGGATTCACGTCTGTCAATCAACAAAAGGTTTCACTTGAGAGATGCCGCCAGGTGATGACTCGGCACGTCGCCAAATGTCACCAACTCTTCCTTCAGAGTTTCGCACGGGATGGGAAGATGGTTCCCGACGGTCCCCGATGGTCCCCTTCTTGAAGTGGATCTTTCAAAGGGTCTTTTCATCCATTCATCCGCACGGAGAACGATTCGTGAAGTTCGATGTCACGGGTCCGCCGTGGGACTTGAAAAGCTTCATTTAGATGCAGTCATGGAGAAGCCATATGGAAATGTGGAATACTTATGACTCGAGGGCTATCATCTCCATCCATACATTCGTTAAAGTTAACCGGTATGCCACGACATATGCATTTCACTTGACTTTCTCTTCATCCTTGCCCCCGGTATTGAATCTCCTCCCCTTCTTTCTGCCTTCCTAATTATTCATCATTTAATAAATGAGGGACACAGAATAAAAATTGATATCGTGGCGCATAACCCTTTTATCTCCCCGTCGCTTTTGACAGCTTTGGCCTAGATCCCAACGGTCAAGGGGTCGTAGGTTTAGGTGATTATTTCCTATTGATTCCCACGGACTCCCCCACGCAAAAATTAGCCTCATAGGAGACCGCATCCCGGCAACGAAGAGGCCAGCAGGGTCGTAGAAAAATGCCGCTCGTTCGGGGAAGGAGCGAGAAGCCGACCTGGAATCAGCACGTCAAGGCCTTTTTCGTACAACTTTGGGATATGATCGCCGCCTGTTTGGATTTCGAGCAGTGCGGCCGAGCGTTCGGGTACGGCAAAGTTGCACGTTTCTGAAAGTACTCTTAAATCAAGTACACTTACTTGGTCTTCACTTAAAAAATCATTCAGAGCACACAGCTCAATTCAGCCTTCCATTTAGTCGAATAACGAGAACACCATCCGTACTCCAGCCAACGACAAACGGTGCATGATAGGGTATTTATCGATGTCTCACCCCCCTCCCATCGAATTAACGGTGACTCGAACGCGGAAACCCACAGCTGCGGCGAGCCCCACACCGGCATAGCGGAAGATCTGCACGACCTAGAACTCCAAGCCCTCCGCCTTCGATGGGGACTCGACCAGATTCACCACCGAATGACCGAAAGGCTCCGCGAGCTGCACGTGCAGACCCCCTCCCCGTCAGCTCGTTTCCCTTCTGATCCTTCATTTCTATAATTAGCAAGGACTCGGATGACCTAGACGATTGACTCCAGGTCGTGTGAGGAAAACGGACAAAGGCGTCTTGGGAAGGCGATCCGACATTCTCCCAAGATGTACTCCGACGGTGAGTCGGTACTCCGCATTGAAACAATTTAGAGCTGTAAATGCAATCTAAATATTTAATCGAGATTAATCATTCCTGTCATTCGAGTTTCATTGATCAAATATTGTGAAGGATTTATTATCTGCTTGGAAACTGAGCTAATGTACGACTTCGAATCTCGATTTCGGTCAAGTCATGATCCCTGTCAAATTACCATGGGATATACAAACTGGGTCGCGCATAAAAAATGCGATAAAAGACTAAGTGCGGCACAGGAAATTGTAAGAAATTACGAGAAAAAAAAGTTTCGAGAACAGACCTCGAGATGAGAAATTCGTCGTCTTCAGATGAGTCTGAAAAAACGGAAAGATTCTATCCTGCCCAAATTCTAAAATCAGTCAGTAGATCTAAAATATGCTGTTCCTGTGATTTCTCGCCAAAGAAACCCCGAAAGCGAATCGAATTCTCAACACGGAAACCGATTAAATAATCCACTTCAAATCGAGGTGAGAGTGTGCCCAAAGCATTCAGGAACCCTTTCATTTCGTGAAACTTCAGCCATGGGTAACTTCTCATAAATTAATTTGCCAATAAGTTGCGATGGGCAGCATACCTAGCCTACAATGAATGTCAGGTGAATCAACACCACCGTGATGGTCGTAGGAAGAAAAATACTGGACCGAAAGGAACCTTCAGGCTTCTCTATAAGGCAGCGGTCCCCAAACAGTGGGTCGCGTACATTTTCCCAGCATCAAAAATCACTACGGGATGAAACAGAAAAGGGCCATCAGTTTTCTTCACGTCGTAACTACTTTTAAAATACCCCGTTCTGGATTCCGGTGGGTCGCGAAATTTTTCACACGTCAGCAAGTGGGTCGCTACTGAAAGAAGTCTGGGAACCGCTGCTCTGTAGGCATCGCCCGAGTGCAACCACGTGGCGTGACGAAACCTCCAGAGCAAGTGACGATGCGAGCCGCTGCGCCGAGTCCCGCGGCGAGCCATCACTCTTCTGTTTTTCCCTCGTCTACACGAGATCGTTGCTTGCGCTGGGAAGTCGAAGAAGAATGTTTGTGGAACGGGAATCTATCGGGGCCGGTTGGCCCCATTGGCTGCATCACGATCGAGGCAGAAAAGAGCGCTCTAGCGACGATCATTTCACTTTAGCCGGAGTATTTTCATGATTTTTCTGTAATTCTTGAAGACTCTGAACTGTAGATTCGTTCTATCCCCTCGGTGCAATTCCACCGTCGGAATAAGACGATGAGAGACTCGTACGTCATCTAATCTCACGGTTGTCCTTCCCTGCCTATTAGAGGCTCTGACTGACGATGCTAAGACACATGTAAACCCCTAAAGTACAAGTTTTTTTTTTAAGTATAACTATTACCCTGGTGTATGTTTTATTGCCTCGGTCAAACGACCACACCATCTATTATCCTTTCTTTTGGAAAGATGAGAATGGGACAGATTTTTTTTTTTTTTTACCTGGTAGCACATGGCCACTTTCCATTGTCCAAAGCTCCAGTGCATTTCATACATGCGAAAGCGGCGACTTCACATGCATAGGTACGCTTCCTGTAACTGGATAGTGAAATGAGACGACTTTTTTTATTTATAACTTCGCATGGGGCCATGAAGAAAAATCGTTGTCGAACAACGTGTACAAGGTATGGCAGTGACCAACGACTTTTAATCGGTATATCTATGCTCCCACACCAGCTATTTTCACGAAGCTTTCACTGTGCATAGATGAATACGAACACATCTTCAAAATTTCTTTCAAATTAATTTCTCAAAAGCAAGACTATGATCATCGATAAAAAAAAGTTAGGTATTGAAAATGGACAAGAGCTCGAGCATTCGGCTCTCATCCGGGTCACGTCCAAAGGCTGGCCTTTTCCTGCAGATTGATTGCAATGAAGAATATCAAACTGACAGGTGGATCAAAACAAAGAGTTCGATCGATCGGTTCAATCAGATTTTAGTTTGGGATTAAGATTTTAAGATCCCCATCCGAAACTTTCGAGGCGTTCGGGGAGATCGCCTGTCCATTTGTGACTTCCGATTTCTCGTAAATAATTGTTTATTGGCTTCTCTTGGCAGCATCGTTTTGAATGAAATTTCAAGAGCCTTTTAGAAAACATATGCACAGAGCAAGTTCCGCGAAAACGGCTCCTGCGAAACCCGAGCGACCAAGTCGTCGGTCGTTTCCCGCCCTGCCCTGTACTGCTAGCCCACATCCCGCAACGCGAAACGGCTCTCACACCTCCTTCGCCTGTGACGCCGGTGGCCTCTGGCTCCGCGGTGGAGACTAATCTTCGTGTCAAATGGCTGATATTAACGCTTGATGGCGTGGGAGCACGCCTTCACCGACGGGCACGGGGATGGACGATGAATACGCTGAAACTGGAACTCACTAATACTCGTATGCGAGACGGAATTTCTTACTTTCAAACTTTTTACCGACTCTTACCAGAAGCTTTTTATCTTCGGCCTGGCAGACGCCATCTTTGATCTGTGGGAAGCGAGCAGGCAAAAGCTGTTCGCTGGTTGTCGGTTTGGCTGGTCTGGTCAAAGTCTGCATCTTAGGGTGGGTCGGGTTCGCTGGTTTCCTATATATTTCATTTTTTCGCAGCAACCTTGATGCTGGTAATTCGAGCATTGTTACGCGCATGTAGTAAGGACCGAAAAATCGAATTGATCAAAAACTTGGGCAAAACGGTGGACTAAACGGGTCTCGCAGCGAAAACCCCGCCCGAGCAAGTCTCCATTGCTGGCGGCGGTGCCACACCGTGCAGGAATGACAAGCAAGAGCAACAGTTGGTGCACTCAGAGCATCGACTTAACAAGCCGCACGAAAAGAGCAACCACCGCACGACAGGCTTCCCGACCAAGCCTGAACCCAGCGATGTCGTTTTAGTCGCAAGGGAAGCGGAACGCTTCGGTGCTGAATGCACCCATTATTGCTGCCCTGCAGCAGCTGATTCTTTTACCTGTGGCAGGCGTCAGGCCACCTCTTAGCATTTATATTGCGCGTGTTCCGTTTTTATCACGCACTACCGGGAATCATCTACTGATTTTTTGAATGGAAATCGGTCACAACAGAAGGCCTGAGTTACGCCGTTTGAGTCAGATTCGACGCCATCTCCGGCAGAACTCGGGTCAATCGAGGTGAACTCAAAGAGAATCACGGGGAGAACCGACGCGGAAGGGTAAGACGACAATAACGAATCAGGAGACTGGAGGCATTGGGTTCCCTCCACGAATCGATCCAATTTCAGTTCGGGACCGAGATTTCATTTCACAGCACACAAGACACATTTCTTAACTAGTCCGATACATCGACCTTCCCACACTTCTACCCGAAAACAGCGGAGTCGGTTGAAGACCAAGAGCTGCCGATCGCGACTCGCAAGAACGAACCCACCGCCGCGACCGCCGCGACCGACCGACAGCCCCGCGGAATCGAAGAGCCTTGCCACCCCGCCCGCCTCGCCCGACCTCCTCCGGTCTTCCTCGATCGAC